AGGGGGTAACTGCTACCAGCTCTTATGCTCTGTCCCACCTTGCACCTGATCACACACACCCGCCCCTGCCTCCAGGGGGTAACTGCTACCAGCTCCTGGGTCGGCTCTGCATTAGGAGAAGTGACCTGTCGCCCTTTTTCCAAAACATCTGAATTAAATCTTTCTAAGAATCATTTTCAAGGAGTTATCAAAGTGGCACCAACACTAAGCTGCTAATCAAAAGGTTGTCTTAACTCACCCCCTGGTGACTCTGTAGAAGAAAGACTCAGTGATCGATTTTTAAAGACTCAAAAAAGCCCTCAAACTCACTGCCATCGAGTCAATGCCGAATCACAGCGACCCTATAGGACAGGGTAAAACTGCCCCTGTGCGCTTTTGAGACTAACTACGGGAGTAGAGTCCTGTCTTTCTCCTTTGGAGCCTCTGACGGATGGTTTCAAACTAATGATCCTACAGCCAAGAAAATCCTATGGGGGCAGTTCTGTGTCACAGGGGTCTTTGTGAATCCTGAAGTGGCACCTAGCAACATCAACAGACCTTTATCACACTCTACTTCCACTCCAGGTCTCTACGGCTTTTTTTTTTTTCCAATTTAATATATACTAAAGGACAGAAAGTAAGACTATTCCTCTAGAATTTAAGCCTTACACTCAAGATGCAATAGATCAATAATGACTTACAGAAATCTTAAGTGGAGATTTCATATACAAGAAATAAATATGTAGAAAATAAATAGTAGGTACTAGGGATTGGCGGGAGGGAGAAAGCACTTCTTAGAGCGCCTTAAATTTGTGTTAATGGTGCTGGAATAATGTGGAAAAGGTAGCAAGAGTGGTTTTACAACCTGGAGCATCCAATCAAATAGAAATCGTTGAGTTAGCTTACGTTTTTTTTTTTTATGTTACGCGAGAGAGCTTTATATCAAGAAATTATGGTATATTAGGAAAACATCCCAGCCCAATCCAACTCAAGTCCATATGCCCAATACTAGACCATAATTTCCTCTTCAGACTCACGAAGCCACATGCAATGACGCAGAATGCAGGAAGATTACTGTCCGGTGGGTGCAAAGTTCTGTGGATCCAATGGCGGTGGACTGGCAGGTCTCTAGCAGGTCTCCCTGTGGTTTTTAAGTCAGCAGGAAGGTGAAAGCAGAGTGTGGCCCACCTCCAGGGAGAAAGAGCTAGCTTACGTTTTATTATGCATCTTATCACCATACATACACACAAAAGTGTTCTGGAGGCAGGCAATTCAGATTATCCCAAAGCATTAAACTTCTCCCTGCTTGTAAAGTTGACACTTTAGAAAAACATGTTCATTGTTCAACTAATGTTTAATAAGAGCAGTCTAGGTGGTGGGCAGGCACTATGTTGAATGCTGAGTATATATTGAATAAAGCAAACACGACCCTGCTCCCTGGAGAAGCCTACAAACGAGTGTCTGAAATATATATGAGAACCATTTTGAAAACCACTGCTTCAACTTACTAACAATATTTCACAATATGGTGGACAGAATTCTAAGATGGGCCCCAAGACTCTTGCACCCTATGGCCTCAAACAGAAAGATAATGTGAACCACTGATGTTGCAAGCTTCTTTTAATGATTAAGACCCTTGTTCCTCCAGGGAGAGCATTGTGCTCTTCCCCAGCTGTGGTAGGCATAATAATGGCCCCTCAAGTGTATCATTCTTATCACTGGAACCTAGTCATATGTTACATCATGTGGCAGAAGAGACTCTGTAGAAGTGATTAAGTTGAAAATCCTGAGAAGGGAAAATCATACTAGCTATCCAGGGGGTTTAAATGAAATCACCAAGATCCTTCTAAATCAGTCGTTCTCAACCTTCCTAATGCCGCAACCCTTTAATACAGTTCCTCATGTTGTGGCCCCCCCCAACCATAAAATTATTTTCGTTGCTACTTTGTAACTAATTTTGCTACTGTTATGAAGCGGGTGACCCCTGTGAAGGGGCAACTGTTGCGACCCACTTATTGAGAACCGCTGTTCTAAGTGAAAGAGGGAGGCAAGAGTCAGGTATGACAATGGAAGTGGAGTCAGAGTGACGCATAAAAGCAGCTTCACATGCTGTGATAGGTAGGTGTATTGTGCCAACCTGGCCAATAGGAACATGTGGGATTAATAAGGTCGCAGTTTGATTGGAGGGCAAAGAGAAATGGCCTGGCAATACCCACCCCTCTCTCGCTCTCTGGTGATCTGACCAGCGTGCGGCTGCTTTGGCTAGTTCTCTGCTCAACTTGTGAGCTACACAACCTGTGGGACAGCCAACCCATGGATTTTATCACTAGAGGTTGAGGTTCCTTCGAGACCTGCTTTGCCACGCGGCTGGTGTATACATCGCTTGAGCTTGAGGCTGTCGGACCCTGTCATCTTGCATTGCCTGAATTCAATATTCCTTCCGGGCCTGCTTCCCTAAGCTCCTGAGCTGCTGACTGTTAGTGACCAGCCCTGCTGTCTGCTGACTATGGCCAGACTGCCTGCATTGCCCTATGGAAGACTAAGTTATCTGTGTCCTTGACCTTGGACCCAGCAGCCCTCATGAATTGAAGAACTTCCAGTATATTAATTGTTCCATGGAAGTGAGTTGAACTGAGTACTCTGTACTGCTGTGTGGACTAATTAGCTGTTATATTCCCTCGTGCTGTATCGATCTATCTATCCTTATATATAAAATAATGAGTGTCCTGGTTTTGTTTCCCTAGAGAACTGTGTCTAACTCACCTGGCTTTGCTGGCTTTGAAGTTGCAAGAGACCATGTGATGTCCTAGGGGAAGAAAAAGATGCCAAATTCTCACATAATTTCCAGAGAAATATTTATTAAGTCTTAAGTAGGATGAAGACAAGACAAAGACAAATCATCTGGATGAGGAAGATCGTGACCATGTCCCCATAACGGGGTCCAGTGCCTGACAAACTCAGCTATTTAAACAGGACACAGAGAACAAAGGAAACTCACAAAATCATGACTGGCAGCAGATTAGTTCATCACAATTGCAGGCAGGACTTGTGTAGAAGTGGGAATGGGACTGTGATAGGGTTACATCCACTACTGTAAATTAGAAAAACTTACAAGATTGGTTCAGGGCTCTCCAACCAAAGTAGTCTGGGTATGCCACTCCCTCAAAAAACTCACTGCCATCACGTTGATGCTGACTCATGGTGACTATAGGACAGAGTATTATCCCTGGGGTTTCCAAGGCTGAATCTGTACAGGAGTAGAGGGACTGGTGAGTTCAAACTGCTGGTCGTGAGATTAGCAGCCTACCATGTAGCCCACTATTCCACCAAGGCTCCCTTTGCATCTCTGTTGTCAGGTGCCCTTGACTCAGCAATTCTATACCCCACTTTCTATCAAGGGCCAACCAACCCAACTTCCTGCCATCGAGCTGATTCTGGTTCATAATGACCCTATACACAGGGTTTCCGAGGCTATAAATCTTTATGTAGCAGATATCCTCCATTTTCCTGAGAAGGAGCTGGGAGGTTTGACCCACCAACCT